CCAACCGTCTGGTATTGAAATTTCAACCCCGAGGGCAACGCGTTTTATCAGCATTTGAGCTGAGCGAAGTACATTTCGCGTCTCGATGTGTACCAAAACTGACCTGTCATCAGGACACATACTTCACAACTCTGTCAGTTGTATTGTTAGTCAATCTGTTAGTTTGTTAGTAACAAACGGGGAGAATCACGCGAAAATATAGCACCAGCCGCGGACGACTCCCACATCGACCCCCCCCCAATCAAAAAAAAAAATGTACGTTTATATACAGAGTGTTGCAGGAATGAATCCAGTTCAATGAATATTCTCAATTAATTAACATACAATGTTCCCTGCATTTATATATTTATAAGTTTATTAGGCATATATTAATCTGTTTAGTTCCAGCCTTCAAGAATCGGGCACGCGAAAAAGTTGTCTCATAATATATAAATTAATTAGCGAGCTAATCGTGACTTTAATCCTTAATAATTCAATCACTTTTCATTCAGCCAACCAATCAAATTATCAGTTAAGTAGTCCGTTACCTGATTGATCGGTCAGCGAACCAATCACCCTCTTAAAAATATATTTTATATAAAGTAGTGCCTCTTACGCCGTTACTGAGACAAATCTTAAGTAAGCTTAAGGCACACGAAAAGAAACTTTATATTTTCATCTGAATGGGCAGTTGTGTCTTATTCTCTTCTGGAGTGACTGTGTACAACAGGGAAACCAGAAATTTCCGGTCAGGATTTCCGTTTTCGGAATTCAAAACACACGCAAGTACACGATCAAACCGCTAGACCGACCATCCATCAGTTTAACTTTCGTAGCCACATTGATAAACATGAAAACAGGACTTTCCCGTACTTTGAACAAATAAACAATAATAATAATAATAATAATCAAGGAGAAACACACTTCCTTGTGGGTACGAAACTGAGTACTTGCGTAAAAAAACATGGCTGGCTGACCACATAAATAAATGAAAATGGCTGTGTTCTGGGACTTTGCGCCAGATTTCTCGTACAAATCTGACCTGACGTTTCGGAGGTGCTTATCGCCTCCGTCATCAGAGCGGTAAATTTCTACGAGACCACGCGGCACAACATCCCAATAGACAGACACGCTTATATATAAGAGTTGAGTCCGTACCGCGAAGAAAACACCGCACTTCACCATTGCACACTAATGACTGCTACTGAGTGAGACAGTGACTGAATTTATATGACAAAGTCGTGTATCTGAATGAGGGAATCCAGTCATCAACAATCTAATGATTCGAATCACTGAATCCCAGAAATATCTGACGACGCCAAGTCTGTCGGCTGTCGGCGTCGTCAGAGTGAAGTCGTTGAAATGATCGGTTCTATGAAGCAAAATGATTGAAACGTAAAAAAAGAAAAATTCCTGTCTGGTTATCAGGGAAGAAAGTTCTAGAATGTTCATTTATAACTGGTTTTAAATTATGTCGGCGACAATTACTTACGACGAAACTGATTTCAGAAAATTTTTCTCCCGCAACGGCCAATTGCGACAGCAGATTATTATTCAACAACGCGGATCTATGTTTCAAGTAAATGACTGGTAACATAGCCCCGATGATGGAGGCAGCAGGGACCTCTGAAATGTTTGTATAAACTTCTACAACATTACACGGCGCTACAATCCATAAATCCTATTAAGTATACAATTATTAAGAACATACTTTTGTTTTGGGATTTCATGTAAAATTAATTTATAAAAGACTGTCGATTGTTTTAAACTCGCAAGCAGACTTATGGTCACAATTTTATTTATTTTATTATTAGTGTTCTGTGTGACGATAGGTCCATATGAACAGGATCCTTCCCTCCTTTTCTCGGACTGGGACCTGTTCATATGCGTTCTTGGCAGATGATCCAGAAGTGGTTTGCCATTGCCTTCTTCTGTGTGTGCATGGAGTAATTGTTGGGATGCCACGGAGGAAAACTCCGTGTTGCCTAGACCACGGCCTTGCCCAACACAAGTTATAAATTCGGGCACCGCCGGGAATCGAACCCGAGACCCCCAGGATTACAAGGCCACCGATTAATCGGCCCGTGTGTGCGTCACGAAAGTACCTTTCTCGACACAAAGGGCAACAAAAAGACTCCCAGAACAATTTGTGCTGAACCTGGTTGCCTGCTCTCCTCGTCGTGAGATCGTTGTAATACAAAACTTGTTTTTTTAAAGGTTTTTCATGATGAAAAATGAGAAGAAATTTTTAAATTTAGAGGGAAAAGAAATGGGGGTAGATTGAAAAAAGTGGTGAGGGTGGTAATATTGTTAGGACCTCACGTATACAACAATACGACTCACAACAATAGAACGGAGGTACATGATAAATTTTCCTGGAAGTAAACACATACACAAAACTATTTATCATCTGGATATAAACAGAAATGAAAGCGGGGGGGGGGAGAACACAGAACAAGACAAAAATGAATTGTCAAAGCTGTATTCCGGAGGGGGGGAGGGGGTGGGGTCGTTGGTTCGAAGCATAACATGTTGTAGGTTCCTAAATAAACAATACAAAACCATTCCAGAATGTTAAGGAGTCTGCAACCGGCGATTCTTTGATCAGTCACAGGGTACAAGGTAATTACAGCCAATTATTTATTTATTTATTAGTGTATTTCACAACGATCTCTCTCAGACCACATAGGCTGTATAGGAGTTCCAAGAAATCAATAAAATCAAACGTCAAATTCAAAGTTAGTATTCAGTTACCTTAACCAAAATTTGTCAGTGTAATTTACTTGAGAAAAGAGTGATATTTCAGGATTATATGCTGAGACAGGTCAATCCAATTCAAATACTCATAACCTACTTCCATAAAATTCATTTTAATATTATACTCCGTTATATACCTGAGATACGCTATGTAAACTGTGTTCAGACATCTGATAGATATATCGAAACACGAAAAATTAATGAAAAACATCTACTGTCACATGACAGAAATTAACACGTTGTTTTTCCTATACAGTACTGAAAAATACATTGTCTTACTCAGGCACTCCTGGGTAATGCCCAGACAAAACTGTGAAATTAGCCTATGAAAACCTCCTATCATATCCTTAACCCGTTAAAATTAATAATTATGACATCTCATTCGAAGTTATGTAACACCTGCAGTTGAAACAGTGTCATTAAATAACGTCATTAGTCATTAAAAACTTATTTCGCAGGGTTATTAACCGGATTTGGGCTTAAATTTCTGTTCCTTACTTACAGTTGAGGATACAAGATGGCGTCGTCTATGTCAATTGGCGATCAAGCGAGCAGTTCGGCCGTTTTTGCGACACCCGTTATGCACGACCCGAGTCCATCACTGGCGCAGAATTTACAACTGCAGACGGAATATGACAACGAACTCTCGAGGTTAGAAACGACACTACAAGTCCAGCAACCATAAAAAGATGTCGGCTCCCATATTTTTCGTTGGTCACAGAAATTAATCAGAACACCAAACAGTGTTTTGTGTACGCATAAAAATAAATATTAAACATATCAAAACAAACATAATTTTGAAGAAATAAACTACTGCCAACGAGATAAAAAAACAGGTGTGAACAAGTATTATTATTATTATTATTATAAGTAGTATTTTTATATAGGTCGATGTTTCGGAGGAAAATATTGCTCCCATCTTCAGGTCGGAATTGATGGTGTATAGTTAGGAGAAGGACCAGGTCAGGGGATTAGCCAATCAGAGCTACGGGATGAGGGGGGGGGAGGCAGGGGAGATGAACCGAGGCAAAAACCCAGAAGATCAGCTTCTACAGGCTGTAGCCACATGGCCGTGAAGTTGTACAAGAGCCAGCCCTGTCAGACAAGAAACCGACCGATTCTCTTAGCAGTGACCCAGTGTTCGCTCGAAGGGGGGCTGTTCCGAGCCCTGAAACTTGTAACACTGTCTTATTCCTTTGTTGCAGGGAACTCAGGTGATTCTCAAATAATTCCTCAGTACTCGCATTAAAAGAACTGGAAGGAGCTGGCATGGTAATGTTAATTCACAATCAAATCTTACACGTTTCTACTTAGGACGGTGGTTTGTGAAGAAGAACACCAAGCTATATTCAAACTGTGGTCTTCTAGGCTGTTACACCGTGCAATATTTTGGTTCTGTGTCAACGTTTCGAAGGAAAATACTGCCTCCATCTTCAGGGCGCATAGCCAAAATAATATACAGCGCAACAGTCAACGAGACAAATGTGATGTTACATGTCGTCTCCATCCCTCACAACATCACAATCATAATCATTGCCTCTACAGTCCCTTGTGGGTCCTGGTCCTTCAAAATCTTCTTCCATTCCATCCGGCAGTTGCTTCATCTGATTTCGTAACAAGTTGTTTTTCACAGTATAATGTGAATGCATTTTTGGCACACCCTGTATATCCAAAAATGTTTAATACATATGAGGATGCTGTCAGTCTCAACTCATTACCGGACCTTCTCGAACATCTGTAACATGAAATCTACTGGTTTTTTGTCCATCCCCCCCCCCTCCCTCCCCCCTCTGCTTCTTCAACTGACAGATGTTTGAAATATGAGAACGTATTTCATTTCGATAATATCGATCATGGGAGATCAAGTTGGTCCAGGAAGCGAAAATATCTAAGGTGTAGTAAAAAAAGCCGCTGCGAGCAGTTTATATTTCTCGGGCACAGTTTTTTTCAGAAAAAAAAGTTTTTCAGATAAATATTTAAAATGTGTTCAAAGTTTTCGCCACAAATACTGCACCTTCGACAGACCGTGCAGTTTCTCGATGACGTAATTCTCCACGCGAAAAGCGAGTAAATAAAATTTCTTTTAAAGAAAATCAGGGAGTTTATATGAAACATAAAAATAAAAGACCATGGAAAAAATACAAGAAGGATAAATGGATGAAACAGACACAAATGGCAATATTTCTTCCTTTGTTCTGAGATAACAAAAATAAACAGCAGCTTTTATTATATTTAATCCCCATTCCATTCTTCGTGTTTCACTTTTACTCCCGCAAAAATTCATCTGATGGCGCGTTCCGAACAAAAAAATTACAAAAATTCGCCTATAAACTTCGTCATATCTTTCCTTCCGTAAGTCTCTAAAAAAACACTCGATTTACTCTACTCTTCGGGAGGGGGGGGGGAGATTATGCTGCCCCACTTTACCCTAATATTCATATAAATAATTAATCAGCCGTGACCTATGACACGGCAATGATACAGCAGCTCTTGATAACATTTGCCATGCATTCGTCACTGTCGCACGTAAGTGATGTTGAATCACAGACGAGCTTTCAAGCGCGTGTACTCCACGACCATGTCCATGTGCCAACTTTGTTTCGTCTTTAAAATCCGCCACCATCTACCGGTCTGCTATAGTCGGGCCCAGGTAGACCCCCGAATTTGGGACACAACACACAAATCTTTAGCTGGGGTCGTTCGCTACGCTGACTGAGGTGTTGCCTAGTTTTTCCTCAGTCTCCTTACGAGCGTGTCGAGAAATTTCCTTCAAGCATTGTCTCCTTCCAAATCCACACTTTCCATCCCACTGGAAGCTAATATAATCGTCAGTTTTTTTTTTGTTTTTCATTGCGAGTTTGGCTTTAACGAGCCCTAACCTCAATTTCCGCTCATGATTCAGACTTTAAATATGTCGAAACATAACCTAAAACCGGGCAGACTTTATTACGTGCTGGTGACGTAATTTCCCATGCAAATTGTGTTGAGTTTATCCTCAATTCCTCTGCAATTATTACAAGAACAGCTTCAACTCGAGTAGGCGCCATTAGGACCATAGACCACCCCCCCCTCTCCGGGGGACAGGCTGCTTAATCTCTCTACGTTTTACATCCTTCTTCCTTACTCCATTCTATTTTCTCTTCTCTTCCCCTCGTTTTCTTCTGTCTTTCTCCCATTATCACTTCTTAATGTTTTCTTTTTAATTTTTAAAAAGGATTTGATGTTCTCACGGCTATGAGCCCGAAGATGGCTGTCTTCTGGGTTATAGCGCCGTGTAATCTGGTAGAAGTTTACCACCGTTTCAGAGGTACTTCCTGCCTCCATCATCAGGGCTATGATTCATCGCTGTATAAAAACAGGTATCGTACTATCACACATTATTTTTTTTGTGATTCGGCAGACAAGGATGACACGCAAATTGCTGTTTGTTAGAGAGACAAAGGACGTGTCAACGACTCGTCTGTAATGACGTCACTGCCCCCCCCCCACCGCCCCGGTGCTAAAATGTTAAGCATCCAGTGTCTGGTATTTGTATTACAGCAAGGAATTAATGTTAAGCCTGGGTTTATCCATGTTACATCGAACGCAGTCAAAATTATCTTCGTTTAAAGCAAACTACAGCTCGTAATATTAACAGACGAAAATGTGATTCGCCACCGACGTAATAATAATTCCTTAATATCTGCTTTACGTCATTCTCCGTTATTCTTAATTAAATTAAACTGACGGAGACGAAATCATAAAAGAATTAATTTAGTTCCGAACAGAGTTTTTTTTCCCACCGCCTGTAACTTCGCATGTACGAGGATACCCAGGGTTCAAATCTCGACACAGACGCCATCGTGAGTTGAGATTCTTCGCAATTTTCCTGGGTCCAACCAAAATTGATACACACTTTGTAGTCAGACTATGGCCTGCCTCGATACAAACTTCTAAATGATTAGGTTGTTTGATCACACAAAAAAAAAATTCAGGGCACCTTGATGATGGAAGGAGTAAACACCTCTGAAACATCATCAAGATGAGTTCTGCCTAAATAATATATGTACTTACAAGTCGATGTGCTAAACACTGTGTGATATCTGAGGTTTATTCGGAGTAACATACTGCCTTCATCTCTAGAATACGATGAAGATGGCAGCGATAATTTCCTCCGAAACGTTGATACATGGCATTGCCTCCCAGAAGACCACAATCCACACGTCGCTCAGAGGCGGGATTTACGAGCACCAATTAACGTGCAATAATTGTTGATTTTCCTTTGTTTCAGGTTTTCCAGGCCGTTGCTGGATTTCGCAGCTACCATGACAGTTTTGATCATGGTAGTGGGAATTCTGGGAAATCTGCTGACCATTGTGGCGCTCATTAGGTGCCCGCGGGTCAGAAATGTTGCTGCAGCCTTCATCATCAGGTTAGCACTGCGTTACTGTCTCTCTCAAATGCAGGTGATGTCGGACCTAGAAAAAAAAATTTAATATAAAATTTAAATTCTTACAGATATTAACATTTAATTATTTGGATTACTGGCAGCCAATGCGTATAAAAAGAATATGTGGAACAACTAACTTTTACGCGAACATCCTGTACCATGCCCTGGAATCAGCGCCACAATGCCAGACCGTTTACTCTAATCATAACAAAAGAACGTCCGGTCGCTCTCTTATTCCGTTTCTCACCGCTGTTCTGTCTGTCTTAAACGCGGTAGCAGCTTCCTGAGAACAAAACTTCGTGTTCACGTTCCAGCGCCCGGAATATTGCATCCAAACAATCTGACTCAAGTAACAATAGCTACAAAACGTCTGCAGGCAGTGTAATCCACCGCTCCTTCCGTCTTTACAAATTACGTTGTCATGGCAACACCCTCCCCGTGTCTCCTCGTGCGTTTCACCAACGGGGAACATACGTATTATGCTCCGTCTTAAAGTCGCCCGCCCCTCCGGGTTCTGGCATTCATCCTTTCATTAATTATCAAAGTACACTCAAGATCTACTTAACCCTTTGGAGCCGAAGCTCTTTCAAATGAAACTTAAGAATTCAGTCCGTACCGCGAAGAAAACACTACACTTCACCATTACAAAGATCAACTGGTTAACCTTGTTTAAGGAAATAATACGACTTAAACGCTAATTAACCTTAGGAGCCGAAGCTCTTTCAAATGAAACTTAAGAATTCAGTCCGTACCGCGAAGAAAACACTACACTTCACCATTACAAAGATCAACTTTTTAACGCTGTTTAAGGAAATGATCGCTGTTTAGAGTAACAATTATACAAAACACATAAATGAAGAGCTACTGATTGATGCAGCAGGTGGTACATATAATTACCACTGAGCTTTAAAGCGTTAATCGGATGACTTCCAGTTTACAGACATGTTACAGTAAAGTGACTGGATTAATACCACGAAAAACGTCAGTGAGTGCACGTCAGTGTTTGAGTACAGAGCAGTAACTCCGTCTGTTTTTAGGTAGATACCAGCATTTCGAAGGAACATACTGCCTCTATCTTCAGGGATGTTAAAGATGTGACTCGTTATATGTCACACTTTGCATAACTCCAAACTCAACTGCGGGAGTTAAAACATCGAATTGATGTCAGGAATGGCTAGTAGCTGACATCGAAGCCGGTACCTAGTGATATATGAATGCTATCCCGTGGTTCGTCCGGAGAGACAGATCGGAGCCGGTAATAACTTCAGTGAGGATAGCCGGTGATCGTGGTGATATTCGAACGGGGGTGCAGGACAAAATCGATTTCTTCTACGCGTTGTTCCCGGAAGTCCCTTCTGAACCTCATCCGCTCACAGTACCGTGGGGGGGTGGGGGGGTGTCTTACTATGTGCTAAATTAAAATTTCGCCCTGTCTTATTCCTCCGTAATTTGCATTTAAACTGAAAGAAAGGGAAAAGTGATGTTGGACATGAATGAGATGTCACTCCTTGTGACGTACGCTGACAGACTTGTTAACATTTTCCTTGTTTTTTTGTTTATCGCCATCGCATATTTATCATCGTAGATCCTGATCTTCGACACCGTCTGCTCAATATTCATCACCACCACCTCAGTATTATTCTTTGTCATTTTTTCCGCCATATTTGTAATCTCTGTTATGATAATTTTATACTTCAAATTCCTGTCCGCCATTTTGTTCAAAATACATCGGACAATACACAAGAAATAAAAAAAAACATCAGATCAACCTGTACATCTACTTTAACTTTCAAAAAATCGGTCTAAAAAACTTTGAAATCCGTCACTTATTTATTTAAACTATCCAATAAATAGACCCCAAGTTGGTTATTAATATTAATTATTTCTTTTGAAATATACGACAAAGAAACTTTAATAAAACTCTTCTCTTGAATTAAAGCGACAAGCAATATTAGAAACGGATTGTGTATATATGTATATATCGGCACAGATGAAATTTTCGCCCAAGATGAGAATCGTAGAGGCGTTAAAGACTTTCCTCGGTAAAGCAACAACGCGGAAGACCGAACACAAGATAAAATAGTTAATAAGTAAGTTCTTATAGAAAAGAAAAAAACATTCCAATAAAATAAGAATCCTTTGTTGTGCCCTTGTGAAATATTCTCCAAAATGTCTCCCCCCCAAGAATTAGGATCGATCTGAACAGTTGCGCGTTCTACAGAAGATGTATCAGTCAATTGTAAGTTAACTAAAGCGTAATTTATTTACGTTCATGCTACTAGAAACTTTGTTTAAAACAAATTAAAACTGTCAGTAGCTGTCTAACATGAAGCATATAAAATTTACTTCAATTAACCAAACGAAACATCTCCACGGAAACAAAGCTCTTCATGAGAATTTAAAATTACGCTCAGCTAGTTGAAGAAATTACCCACATTTTATAGAATCACCAAGATTCTTTACAATGTCCATAAGACCCCACCACCGTTCCCTATCCTGATCCAGATCAATACAATTCACGACCACAAACCAAATGTTCCTATCAACCATTTTAATATTATCCTCCCACGTATGTCTCTTCCCTGTCAAATATTTCTGAGCATATTTCCTTTCCAATGCGCGCTATATGCATAGCCCATCTCATCCTCCACGAGTTCATCATCCTAACAATATTTTTTGAAGAATATAAATTATGGTTCTCCACAGTATGCAGTTTTTCCTACCCTCTTGTCAATTCATCCCTCGTGGGTCCAAATATCATCCTCGCCACCCTGTTATCAAACACCCTCAGTCCCTGTTAGTTGGTATTTTAATTACACTCATTAATTATCCGTTGTGGTACCGATTTCAAAGCCTGATTCCCCCCACCCACACACACATCTACAAAGCAAACTGACTGCCTACAAAAGGCTCTGTCTCGTATATCAACAGAATTTTTAAAACAGACACGTAATGGAAATCAATCAACGATAAGCAGCAATTGTTCAACGAATCGACAGTTCTTTAGTGTACGAGGTGCGATCCGAAAGTTTCCAGACTGCGCGTATAAAAACCCGTACACTTATCTCAGGTATTAAATTCATCCATCACCCTCGAAGTAGTTCCCCTGGGAGTGAACACAACGATCCCAGCGCCGCTGCCAAGCCTGGAAGCATCCCTGGAAATCTTTCTTTGTCACTCCCAGGGGAACTACTTCGAGGGTGATGGATGAATTTAATACCTGAGATAAGTGTACGGGTTTTTATACGCGCAGTCTGGAAACTTTCGGATCGCACCTCGTACACTAAAGAACTGTCGATTCGTTGAACAATTGCTGCTTATCGTTGATTGATTTCCATTACGTGTCTGTTTTAAAAATTCTGTTGATATACGAGACAGAGCCTTTTGTAGGCAGTCAGTTTGCTTTGTAGATGTGTGTGTGGGTGGGGGGAATCAGGCTTTGAAATCGGTACCACAACGGATAATTAATGAGTGTAATTAAAATACCAACTAACAGGGACTGAGGGTGTTTGATAACAGGGTGGCGAGGATGATATTTGGACCCACGAGGGATGAATTGACAAGAGGGTAGGAAAAACTGCATACTGTGGAGAACCATAATTTATATTCTTCAAAAAATATTGTTAGGATGATGAACTCGTGGAGGATGAGATGGGCTATGCATATAGCGCGCATTGGAAAGGAAATATGCTCAGAAATATTTGACAGGGAAGAGACATACGTGGGAGGATAATATTAAAATGGTTGATAGGAACATTTGGTTTGTGGTCGTGAATTGTATTGATCTGGATCAGGATAGGGAACGGTGGTGGGGTCTTATGGACATTGTAAAGAATCTTGGTGATTCTATAAAATGTGGGTAATTTCTTCAACTAGCTGAGCGTAATTTTAAATTCTCATGAAGAGCTTTGTTTCCGTGGAGATGTTTCGTTTGGTTAATTGAAGTAAATTTTATATGCTTCATGTTAGACAGCTACTGACAGTTTTAATTTGTTTTAAACAAAGTTTCTAGTAGCATGAACGTAAATAAATTACGCTTTAGTTAACTTACAATTGACTGATACATCTTCTGTAGAACGCGCAACTGTTCAGATCGATCCTAATTCTTGGGGGGGAGACATTTTGGAGAATATTTCACAAGGGCACAACAAAGGATTCTTATTTTATTGGAATGTTTTTTTCTTTTCTATAAGAACTTACTTATTAACTATTTTATCTTGTGTTCGGTCTTCCGCGTTGTTGCTTTACCGAGGAAAGTCTTTAACGCCTCTACGATTCTCATCTTGGGCGAAAATTTCATCTGTGCCGATATATACATATATACACAATCCGTTTCTAATATTGCTTGTCGCTTTAATTCAAGAGAAGAGTTTTATTAAAGTTTCTTTGTCGTATATTTCAAAAGAAATAATTAATATTAATAACCAACTTGGGGTCTATTTATTGGATAGTTTAAATAAATAAGTGACGGATTTCAAAGTTTTTTAGACCGATTTTTTGAAAGTTAAAGTAGATGTACAGGTTGATCTGATGTTTTTTTTTATTTCTTGTGTATTGTCCGATGTATTTTGAACAAAATGGCGGACAGGAATTTGAAGTATAAAATTATCATAACAGAGATTACAAATATGGCGGAAAAAATGACAAAGAATAATACTGAGGTGGTGGTGATGAATATTGAGCAGACGGTGTCGAAGATCAGGATCTACGATGATAAATATGCGATGGCGATAAACAAAAAAACAAGGAAAATGTTAACAAGTCTGTCAGCGTACGTCACAAGGAGTGACATCTCATTCATGTCCAACATCACTTTTCCCTTTCTTTCAGTTTAAATGCAAATTACGGAGGAATAAGACAGGGCGAAATTTTAATTTAGCACATAGTAAGACACCCCCCCACCCCCCCACGGTACTGTGAGCGGATGAGGTTCAGAAGGGACTTCCGGGAACAACGCGTAGAAGAAATCGATTTTGTCCTGC